TATGATTGTAGTTAATGTTGGGTGCACACCTGCATACAAAATAGATTTAAAAACACTGCTTTTGTGCAACATGAGGTATTTGTGCTCTCCAGGACGTTACGCTGATTGTATGCCAGATGTCAAGGCAAATTTTAGAGGATGCACATTGTAAAAAAAAATCCCCAAGGGAAAACTGTGTCAACTTGAAGATAAAATGAAGATTTCTCCTCCCTTCCCCCTTCTTTTTATATATTTGTTGGAGGGCCACTTTGGCAGCTGCTTTTGTTTTTAAATACACAGAGTACAGACAACGCTGATATTTTTAATCTAATATATCATAAAAAATGAGCTTTGTCTGAAGATGTGGACTTGGTGTTCTTCACAGCTGATTAATTATTGAGCATCTGCCAAATGAATTCTTGTTCAGTTGTTTGCTATGCATTCGAATGTTAGTCAAAACTAAATATAATTTATTGGAATAAAAATAATTAATTGAAAAAAAAAATTGTCGGATTCCCATTTCTTTATTTTCCTCAAATGTATCAATTCCCCAATTGTCTTTAATCTTCTAGAGGAAGTTGGGTGGAGAACCTCCTTTGTGTGATGAATTTTGTGTTTACGCGAACTCTGCATCTCTCTAAAGAGTTGTGAGAAATTCCAGCTGTCTTAGTCATCTAAAAGTGCACATTGATTTGCCTTTTGTAGGTAGCTGGTTAGAGTTGGGCCTGGGAGATGGACTAGGTAATTTCTTGAAGTATTTCATAGCTCTTTTCCTGTAAGTCAGCGTCCGGACTTTAAAAGTCATCTGCAGATTATTTTTATAACACCTTGTTGACATAATATTTTATCTGCCTCTTCTGGAATTCTGCCCATTTTTGATCAGTAGTCTTTGTTAAATAATGTGAGAAAGCTCTGGGCACTGCCCAGTGATTCTGTTTCTCTGTTTCTTCTCTAGGGTGGATCCGAGCAGAATGCCTGTAGGCAGCTCCCAGCGCTGAGGAAGAAATAGTTTCTGTGGCTTGTGGGRTTTAGTAGTAAAGCTCTCAGGTTGTCCATTGTTCACAGTAATAGGCTGAAGACTATATGGGAAAACTATGTATTAGGGCAGACTTAGGAAATAGGGTGTCAGTTGTGGCTCAGAGGAGCACTTTGAGGAGCAATAAAAAGAGACTAATAAATAAATGTAGGAAAAAAATGCTTTTCCTGTCAGAACCAAATAGCTTGAGAGAGCTTATCTGGTGTTTAAATGGAGTTCCAGATCTGTAAGACTCTTTCCTTGTTCAGGAAATAGAGTGTTTTTGCGGATAAGCTCCTTATTTCTCCTGCCCTCCCTGTTTCTCTCCCCTTCTGGAGCACATTCCTGGTGAGACACATCGCCCATGAGCCGAGATCCCGCAGAGCAAACACCTCTTCCACCATAACTGCTTGGCCATTCGCTCAAGAGCAAATGTATTGCTTGGCTTGAACGGCTGTTCTAACTGCAAAACCTGGCACTGTGGTTTGTGGTGGGGAGTGGTGGTTTATCCTTTTGCTCTCCTGATCATTAGAACAACAATGAATTTTAGTTTTATTCAGAGCGATCRTCTATAAAACTGAGCAAAAGCAATAGAAATCTTCCAAAGACGTTGAAAAAGGAACTGTTTTTACAAGTGGCTTCGTTAAATAGATGGTTCAGGGCAGCTCGTGCTGCGAAGGGTGGGAAATACCAGAGGTCTGGGACAAAAGCAGGGGGATCTCTGGCCGCCTCCTCTTTCGGACCACGGTGGGTCTGAGGTCTCGCYGTGCGCCAGGTGAGCAGAGGAGGGAGCGGAGGGCGCCGCGCGCGGGGGGTACATGGGCCCGAGGGGCAGCAGTGGGGCCTCTGCCTCCATAGCCCTCTGCCCCCGCGCCTCATATCGCCGTGCACAGAAATGAGGGGTTGCCCTGTGTTTGCAGGGGACGTTGTGTCTGGTTTGAGTTTGCGGGTGCGTGTCGTAAGCAAGGTCAGGAAGCGCAATAAAGCAGGTGCCGTCTTCATGGTGTTAAGCGATGCTGAAAGCTTGTTTTGGTTCCTCAGTGTGCTATAGCCAAGGTTTTTCAAGAGTGACTAAAGATTTATTATTATTATTATTATTATTATTATTATTATTATTATTATTATTATTATTATTATTATTTTGTTTGTTTGTTTGTTAGTTTCATCCAGGCTTAAGGGACCTTTAAAAGCAGTGTCTTGGAAGTGGAGGTGATGGCCCTGGGCAGAGCTGCTCCCAGTTCTGTGCGGAGCCTCGCAGCTACCCGACCGCTGCCCAGCGTTGTTTTTCTAGTGCAGACATCACCTCTCAGCGTTGGAGGAGATGGAGCGGCGAGCAGAAAGGGCAAGTTTGGCTCTGTGCAAACGTCTGACTGGCGCCCGTGCCAGCGGAGCAGAAATTGGGGAGCCCCCRCATACCCGGTGGCTCCCGCCTGCCTCTCGCCTGTGGCCCGTGCCTGACCGCAGCAGCAGCTGCGAAATGCTGCGAGTCCTCAGGGCTGCTGGCCTGTGCCGAGCTCGTGGCGGGGATTTGGTTTGGTTGGTTTTTTTTAAGGTTTATATGTGTGCTTGTTTTGAGATTCTGTATTTATCTAATGGAAAACTTTCTTAATGGCGCTTGTGATCAAAACAAGCCGATTGGGAATGGGGGGAAAAAAAAAAAGAGAAAAGGTGAGATGCGAGTAATGTGGGTGGAAGAGGGGCCGCAGGCTGGTGCTTGGCGGCTCAGGCCTGCGGAGGCAGCGGTCTCCACAGGCTGTGAGCCCCGCCGGCTGCCGGGATGTGGCTCCTTCGTGRGTCGGGGACCGTGTTGTTCAGCCGCGGTGTAAGACGTGAAGCCGCGTGCAGAGAGCTGCTTTGCACAGGTTTCTACCACCTGCAGACAGAGACGTGTTTGCGATGCACCCGCAGTGCCTTGCAGTTGTTGGAGCAGCCTTTGATCAGCGCTGTGGCTTATTAGTCTGCAATTTCCCTTGTATCCCCATGTTTTCATTAATCTAGACAGAACAGTTCCATTTGCTTTAGAGCTGTGTTCACTTGTATCYCTCATAAATCCTTGTAGGTTGTTTTCATGTGTAGTCAGGGCCTGATCTGTGAAGTTCCACACGTCCTGAMTCTCTTGGCTGTGTAATGCATGGACTGCCACTTGTCTTAGAAATCGGTGGGTTTGAGTGACTGGGGAGCCACAGCAGAGAGAGGGCCCAACCTCACGTCACTGTATTTTGGAAAACATTTTAGAAATGCATGTATATGAGCACATGATAGCCACAGCTTTTGTGAAGTGATCTTTTGAAGTATTTCACTGGAAAACACTGGTGACTTGTGGTCTGCCTAAATAACCCTTCTTGGAGATCTCGAGCTGGATATTGTAAAGTTGAGAACTGATTCCAGTGTTTTGGTTTCGGATGTTAATCTGGTACGTAACCTGACATATCTTACTGTAAATCTCAAAGTAATCTTTGTATTTGTTTTTCTCTGTATGAAATTTGGGTTTTTTTTGTTTGTCTCTGTATTTGTTTTTTACTTTGTAGCCTAAAAAAATATTTCTTGAGTACAAATGTAAGAGACAGTAGGAAGCATCTCTGAAACTCTTGCATGTACATTAGGTTTTCACTCACTCACTTAATGTAATTGTATGAGGTCAGGTAACTTTTCACAACTGCAGTGAATCCTTGACTGTCTGCATTATACAACTGTTCGCAGACCAAAGTTGTTAACATCAACAAACTATTGCTATAGCATTGCTAATACACCTTAGGTACCATGTAACTGGAAAGTTCAGGTATAGAGAGAAGGATCATTAAGGTGCTCTAAGGACTCTCGCTGTCACCTGCTGAAGTGAGTTTGTGCTTACAAAAAGCCAATTCTCAGGATGGTGGTTTAATGCGAAACTTAGGGGTAGGATTCACAAAATCACAGAATGGTTGAGGTTGGAAGGGACCTCTGGAGATCCTCTAGTCCAACCCCCTGCTCCAGCAGGGACACCCAGAGCAYGKGGCACARGGCGGCATCCAGGTGGGTTTGGAAGACCCCCAGAKAAGGAGACTCCACARCCTCTCTGGGCAGCCTGTTCCAGGGCTCTRTCACCCTCACAGTGAAGAAGTTCCTCCTCACCTRAAGATGGAACTGTCTGTGTTACTACTTACACCCATTGCCCCTTGTCCTGTCACTGGCCACCACTGAGAAGAGCTTGGCCCCTTCCTCCCTGCATTCTCCCCTCAGCATTCCTGAGGCATCGTTCACGCCTGTGCTGTGTTTTAAGGCTTCTTTAACAAGAAAATGCTCCCGTTGCTATAGTGATAGGTTTGAAGATTTGCAAATTAATGTGTCTGGCAGCAGAGCTGTAACAGCTGAGAGGCTTCTGGGCGGTTTGCAGCCCTGTTGCCTTATGAGCTGCTGGGTGGCACTTGGGGTCCTGGCAATGAGGGGTGTGCAAGAGCAGATGGAGAGTAAAACGGGCGGCCACTGGTAGATAACCTTGGACAAAATGGAAATAAGTAGCAAGTTTATATGAAAACAAGGGGTTTATGTAGCAGAAGTGGTTGACTCTCAATGTAGTTTGTTAGCTGTTGCATTAGAACACGTCAAGACTTCTTTTTTCCCTACTTTATCCTAAGCTTCATCTTCAAAACATTATTCAGTCGCTTGTTTCTACATCTAGCTGTTTGGTTTAAAATAAAGAAAATAACTTCTGGAGTTTCCTCTCTTCAAACAAAGGAAGGAAGAACAGGGAAAATGACCACAAAACTTCCTTCCTTTTTTATTTTACTCTATTTTTTACTTTTTTTGAGAAGATACCCTTGGAATGACATGATAATTGAAGAGTATGCCCTGGGATAATATTAATTACTGAGTTCCTGTCAAAAATATTGTGTGTTTGTGTGTTTATCACCTTGTAATGAATTTTGATATAGAATTATTATTCTTTTAAGTAAATTTAGCAAGCGAGTTAATCTGTTTGTACAGGATAGCTATGTTCTAATGAGGGTTTTTTCTTCTTCATGCTTAGTTTGAAAAAGAAAAGGCAAACGAAGCAAAACGCCGAGACCATCTCTGCCAGTTCCCCTGGTTCTCCTGTTTCCAAAACTTCTTCTGAGAAAGATGATGAAAGTAAAGCCATTCTGGAGCAGATCAGTTCTTCTGAAGACAACTGTAGATTTGCTGGGGAGAAGGAAACTGCTTCGGACAAAGAAAAGAAAAAGAAAAAATATAATCAACTGAAAGACATCAGGCGCACAGAGCTTAAAAGATACTATAGTACTGGTGAGTTGTGCTAAGTCTATAGTATTTTGAAATGTGCTTATTTCACTAGCCAGTGTTTCAGATAAATGATTGCTTTGAAGATTTGCCTTCAATGTTTTATGGTACCGGAGCTCTTTTTTTTTTTTTTTTTTGGGAAGGTTGTTCATTTTGCACGTTGGCACACACTGAGTTAAGTTTTCAGTCTTAATTCATATTCAGTTTCAAGTACCACCAAAGAATAGTTTTGCTGTGTTTTTAAATACTTAGCTTCTGTTTGCTTATTAGAGTATGAATAAAAATGTACATAAACTACACATTCTTAATCAAGAAATCAAAAGGATTGTGTGACAGAAGGTTTAGTGCTTTTTTTCCAGCTGCATCTGTACTTCTGTTGATCATAAGCACCTTTATTAGCTCTGTTTTTGCAAGTAATTCAGGTTAAATTAACTTTTTCCTTAAATATCTAAGAGATGATTGCAAAACAGATCTATTTGCATTTCTGAATTATCATTTATTAAATAAGCTATTTTAGATGTGGTYTGTGAGATGCTCTTTTTTTCCTCTGTTATTTTATAGGAATAAGCTCTTTAAAAGTTTTCTTTTTAAGAAACACATTTTTAGATTTTTTTTTTTAAGCAGACAAATGTATTAAATARCATAGAAGCAGCTTTCTCTCTTCTYTGCTATTAATGTTATTTTAATTGACTGGCACATGCAGGTTAGTCCCCATCTCAATACCCTTTCCTAGGAGGCAACATTTGTCTAACMAAAAAAAAAATCATAGTAAAGTCTCACAGGAAGCACAAGAGATTAGTGATTTATGGATTGGTGCATGATTTTTTGTCAACTTTGAATCTAACAAATTTGGAAACTAAAAAAAAAAAATGCTTCTTCTTTTATCTCAAGATCTGACTACAGCATTCTTGAATAAAATCTTTAGAACAAGAACAGAAGGGATTGTATTGAGGAGTGAATGTCCCAACTATTCATATCTTGCTAACAGGCTAGTGGTTCTGAGGGTGTTTTGCTTGGTTTTTAGGGCTATTTTTTTATTAACGTCACATGAAAATATAAACTCTTGCTGTATGGGTAACAAGGTGCTTCTACTAAAAGCAGTGATTTAATTCCTGGCTCCTACCTTTGGGAATTCAGTGTGTCATGAGGAGGCTGGGTTTTGTCTGCAGCGTTTGGGCGGCTTTGTGGAGCACTTGATGGCACCTGGGTCGCCCCGTGGAGAGGAGCGGGCAGAGGCAGCAGTGGGATGCGCCAGGGTCAGCCGGGAGAAGAGCGGGCAGAGGGAGCAGCGGGATGCGTGCAGGGAGGGTTTAAATCC